GCTTAAATAAATAAAATAAATAAAACTATACCAGCCTCATCAGCCGTCTCCCATTTTTATTTCTGTTTAGTATTGTTTGTATTTGGGCATTAATTGTCTCATTTTTCAGAATTTCCAACTCCCCTGAATCGTTTTTGCCCCAAGGGTTTCCATCTATGGAATCATTCCTACTTTTTCCCTTAGCTTACTGAAGTCAACTCTCTTACAATCTAGAACACTAATCTACCTATTTTCAGTAGTTCGTGTCTGCAGTAAGGTGAATTTGAGGATCACCTCTTTCCCATGGTTCCTACAACTTCTACTTCCTCAACCATTTCTTTCCTGTTGGTGATTATTAAGTCCAATAGATTATTCCCTAGTTCCATCCTCTATGATGAAGTTGTCTGCAAGAAACATCAAGAACCTGTTGGTTATCCTATTTGCGGAGAGTTTGATTCCCAGAAATCTCCTATTCCTTCTTTAGCCTCTTGTCTTCTAGGGCACATGTGGGCATCTAGAAGCCTTCAAATTACAGTAAATCTTCTTTTTAGTGCAATGAAATCTCAGTTTCCCTGCTGCTAATAATAGAAAAACAACAGCATAAAGACAGGGCAGAAATAAAGACGAGTCTAAAATCTGTCTCTTGCTGCAAGAGTGTGTAAATGTGTGTATAGGATCAGAATTGACGTGCTATAATCTAATATTCAAACTTTGCCTAATTGTACATTGTCTCAAATCAAAAATATTCATATGAATCTGTTCACAAGTATTTATTAAGTTCTTATAATTCTGTTCACCCTGTTCAGAAACATAGGTATAAATCTTTAGGCTTAGATGGTCCTGTAGTCAGCTCCTTTTCCTATAGTCAACTTTATATGGATATGTCCCATATGATTCTCAAACTTCAACAGAAGAATATCTTAGCTACATCATAGGTCCTGCTCCACCTAGTCATGACTTTTGGTAGAGACTTTTGTCACTGGACCACTCAATGGGAACTTCAGCTTATTAAATGCAGGTAGGGCTATGGTCTTAGAGCCTCTAAGTAGGTTATTGGAGTTACAATCCTTATAAATTATTGGACATTGCAGTCTTGCTTCTTTGACTAAACACAAGAGTTCAGGGACTCTTTCTTTTAAGCCATCATATGCAGATCAGCAACTTTAATTCAAAGATCCTACTCAGTCCAGAAATCATTCTAATGATGGTATTCAGATTCTCACCTAATATGGAGATTTGTATTGAGAAACCCGGATGAATATTCTTGAACATGAGTGGGTGTTATTAATTTGTCCACAACCATTTCATGAAGACTTAATGTGTTTTTAAAGTTGTTACTCAAGCCGCTTTTTCAGTCTTTTGCTCAAGAATATCCCCAAAATTGTATTTCTTGTAGTTTTTGTGTAGCAATTAACTACAATAGAATTGAGTTTGGGGCCCTTTTTAACAGAGGAGGGACTATGCATCTATTTCCTAGACAAGATGATTAGTGAAACATGATAATGGAAGATCTGGCCCTTCCATTCTAATACCTAGCCTGATAATTATTTTTATTACCCCACTAATGTAATGTGACCTGATATCTAATGACTTGATTTTGAGAAATTTTGACAAATGCAGTAAGAAGCTTCAAAAGTCTTTATTTACCGTGGCATGGAATGAACCCTATGAAGGTGACATCCTAGTGAGCCCTAGAAGTATATTATCTTAGCATATTCTGAGAGTGTTGCATAGATAAACACTGAGAGTAATTTGCCAGCAAAATTGCATTTGAGGGCTTTTTGCTTCCAACATTCATCTGGACTACATGCAATGATAAGTTGTGCTGGGATGTGGAGGGAATGGCGATAATCTCTCCAATTGAAAACAACCACAAACATAGGATGAAGTTGTTGGAATACAAATTTAATCTGTCTCTGAAGTAAGAGAGAGAAAATGCAAACAGGTTTTTCGAAGATAGCAAGGAGGATGTTTTGGAAATTTGTTTTGCATCAGTGCTAGTTTGCAAATACTTTTGAGTGATCAATGGAGAGATGTGCACCAAAAGTGTGGAAAAGTAAGTGTGCTCACTGATTTCAATGGGACTTAAGTGCACTTAAAATGGATTCGGATCTGTTATTACATTTTCTAAGGCTACAATAGTACTAAACTTGTCCTGTGTGTAACATTCACGCAGTTACAGCGGGCCTCTCACGAGTGAGGGGAAAGAAGACACCAAACTGATTCTCCTTCGAGGGGGATGAGAGCGCCCAGACCGGAGTCTGGAAACCTCTTTTATTGAGTACATCAGAGGGCAGGGTTCAGCATATCATACGTCATACTACCTAATACAAACTCATAACCATATATGGTAATACATGAAACACAAGGGATCATGTGCTCCGATTGAGCACGTGACACGCTGCAGGGGCTTGCCTCCTGAAATTTGAGGCTTTTCCCCAGGGTGTTGCTGGTATATTCCATGCTAGCTTCCTTGTTAGTGTTC